TGGTGGCCAAACTTTTCTCCACCTCTCTTCCAATGTTTTTTTTCCTCTTCTTTTCTCTATTTTCTTTCCCTTATTTCCCTTCCTCCACCTCTCTTTCAACATTGACATAGAAAGTATCAATAGTTTTTTTAATTATTGAATATTCAAAGTTATTTTATATTATTAAATAAACTTAAACATGTTTTTAGTTCATGTAAAATGAGTGAGTTTTAATTCTGATCCTTGTAAATTTTTTTCTTTATTTTTCATCTTAAAAAAATTTATAAACATTATTTTTAGTCCTTATAAAATATTTTTGGTCCTTGTAAAATGAATAAATTTTAGTTTTGATCACTATAAAATATTTTTATTTAATTTTCACTCCTCTAATATCTAAAATAATTATTTTAATCCCTAACAACGATTTTAAGGTAGATAAATAACATTTATTTTAAGGACCTATAAAATCTTTTTGAAGGAGTCACACACTAATATGGTATCATTAACAGTTATAATAACATCTAATATGGTCATTTAACCTTTTAATAAAAAATTAGTTAAATAATAATTAGTTAATTACATAATACTAAGGACTAAACAATATTTATGAATTTTAGAGGATGAAAAATAAAGGAAAAATTTTATATGGACCAAAATCAAAACTTGCTCATTTTGTATGGACAAAAATCATATTTAAGCGTAAATTAGAATTTTCTATGACAGAAATTAGAATTTTCCATCCAAATTAAGAATTTAAAATTTAGAAAATTTGAGTATTTAAATTGATTTATGCAAATAAAGTATTTATTTATAAAATAAAATAAAATATTTAATGAATAATAGAAATTGAACAAAGTAATTCAAAGTCTCTAAACTTTTAAAATTCTTTATCCAAACACAACTTTACTTTATAAATGAGTGAGATAAAATTCATAATAGTTTAAAATAGAAGATGAGATCATTTACAGATTTTCAACTACTCACTCAAAACAATTATAATTATAATTATAATTATAATAATATTCACACACTTAAGTATAAGATTTGATTACACACAATTTTAAGGATAAAACAACAAATAATTTATAACTCACGCTACAAATTATGATGCACAAAGGTTTACCAATATATCCCAAATTATGAAGCACATTGCTTCCACAAATTAAAACTAGCTTGAAACACTATCATTAAAGATACAAAATTATGGTATAAGATAGAAGGAAAAAAATAGTCTCTTCAAACTTAGGATTCCAATATATATTCTTAACAAGAATTATTATTTATTAATAATTAATATTAATAATATAAGACAATAGAGAGTTATCACACAACAATGTTTCATGAGAGACTATCACAAAATCTTTAATGCATGTACCAACTGTGATACTTTCTCTCCCTAATTAATTATTAAAACTAATAAAAAATAAACGCTTCACAATTTAATTTAAATAAAAACAACATAATTTTCTAAATCTTCACATGGTGAAAAGTTCACATTCCATCATAGTTAAATAAAATTAATTGAAAAAAAGTTCCTTAATAATAAAACCAACGTCAATAGTCTATATCAAAAACTAAATGTTTAAAATAACAAATTAGCACTCTAAAAAGTCATACAAAGATTTAATAAAAACAACAAACTAAAATGTAAATAAAACACAAATTAAAATAAATAGTTTCATGAGTCCCAATGTCACATTCTATTTGATCTTTGTATCCAAGACATATTAAAGAGGTCTAAACCTCATCACTAGCATCAAACTCTGGCTGATCTTCACCTACAAATAATGTTTAATCCAAATACAAACATAACAAATAAACAAAAGAACGTGAGGTATATTTCATTCATGCTCTCGATATGAAATAAGGTTGGACAACCTCAAACATAACATATACCAATAACATAACAATTTATGTACAAAAGCATACATATGATTTATAACCGTTATAATTATGTAATGTCTCATGCACAAGTGAAATATGCATGTGCCACCATTTGAAAATACACTTAGCTTGAAAGCTCATAAGATAGCTTAGGAATACAGGCTAGTAAACAGAGCTACTCGACCAAAGGCATTTACCACCAAACACTCTCATTAGGAGGAAGACACACAAGGGTGCATCGAGGTCGCACTAAGTCTAAATATAATGCTCACTAAAAAGCCTCTCATACATCAAATTTAACACTAATACCTCATCAAAAACACAATTTATACAAAAGACGCATGTCACATAGACATAAATTCAATCAATTCAACTAATTAATTGTTCCAATTGTTCACATGTTTAACTATATTTTTTTTTCTGATGTCTCAATCTCAACTATTTTTAAGCTCACACTACCTACGTATTATGCTAATCAAGTATTATTTTATTTCCAT